CAATTTAAGTTTTCTTTTTTTTTGAGGGGGGGGGGAGGGGTTGGCGGCTAACTTCCTTTCATCAAGGTGGAATTCGCGACCTATTTGGACCAAAAAAATCTTATTTTACAAAACGAGAGCAGCTGGGGCATCAACATCCTCAAAATGACCGTCGGATGGGAAGGGGGGGAGGGGTTTCTTACTAGAGTCCCTTTACAGAGAGAGTTGAGGCAATGTGGCTTATAAATGTCACAAACGGGAATAAAGATTACACAAATCGGACGTTTTTTTGAGATCTTAGATCAACCAATTCCCGAATTCCTATTTCCGTTCCCTCTCTCTTTCTATTAGTTCCCTGTCGTACCCCCAATCTCCCGGTCCATTTCAGTTTAAAATCTTTGCAGTTGGTGAAAATTTAATCTTCATTCCCGTTTGTGACACTGTGAAGACCTGAAATACGGGAACCAATCAGAAATGGATTCGCATTGTCTTTACTCTCAGTATAAAGGGACTCTAGTTCTTACGGACCCACAGTCTAGCAGTGCCTCACTGGAAAAAAAACACATTGGATCTAGAACCCAGACTCTTGAAAACATTGACAAGAAAAAGGATCTTGATTCTCACTCTTGATTCAATCAGATTTAAGCTTAAATCAAGAACCAAGCCTCCTAATTTGAGCGGATTTCCTTTTGATTTAAGCTTAAATCCAGAAACAAGAGTCCTTTTTCTTGTCAATGTTTTTAAGAGTCTGGACTCTAGATCCAATGTGTTTTTTTTTTTTTTTTTTTTTTTTTTTTTTTTTTTTTTTTTTTTTCAGTGCTCCATCGAGGATATGCAAAGAACGCTTCTGACCGCTGAACTTTTAACCGCGCGATCCTAGGAGAAGAATAACAGAATGAGAGGGTTTCGGGGAAAAAAAGGCGGAAAAACACTGCTCCTTGTCTGCACGCACATGTGCTTGTACCAAGGTCACGCGGGCGTAATTGTAGGAGCGAAATAGTTCAGCCAAGTGAGTTGCGGATTTTCGGGGCTCCTTATCCCCCCGAGGGTCCCGGGTCTAGGAACTCGTAGAAAAAAGACGGAAACGATAATTGATTAATGCCGACGGAGATGAAGTCATCCTGGGTTAGCATCTGTGATGAATGGTGTTTGCTCGGCGCCTCCCGGTTGTTTGCTTCTCAAAATCGGTGCGGACGCGAGCGAAGGACACGATGGTCACGTTATGCGAGCACAGAGGAGCGCACTTCAGAAAGGCGCCTCGCACTTGAACTCGGGTTGAGGAACCAGGAACCCCGGTCGTCGTCGGTCGTCGTCGTCGCGATGCCACGCGACGCATCGCCACTCGCGCCTCGTCCCCGCGCCGCCCGCTGGAAAAACGCCCTATGAGCTTTTCAATGTTGCTCGATTGAATCGCATTTAGCAAAAAGGAACCAGCGTAATGGAGATGTTGCATGTGTGAGGGATTTGCGATTTGACCATTCATTCTTATGTAAAAGTTTGCGAGAAACACGATGGTGCCACTGGTTTTCTCTGAAATCATCTCCCAAGCTCAAAAAAAGCTCTCAAAAGGAGGCCAAAATGGAGGGGATATCCCACCCTACCCTGAGAGTCCACCTCTGCATCAAGACAAACTCTCCATGCAAAGATAGGGAGCAAATACATTAGCAGGGTTGCCACTTTATTTGGGGACTCCAAAACTGAAAACACGGCATCACTGCAAATGTATTTTGCTCCCTATTTCTGCATGGAGAGTTTGTTTTGATTTAGAGGTGGACTCTCAGGGTAGGGTGGGATATCCCCTCCATTTTGGCCTCAACTTGAGAGCTGTTTTTGAGCATGCGGGAGATGATTTCAGAGAAAACCAGTGGCACCATCGTGTTTTTTACCCTTTTCTTAGTAAATACACCGAGATTTTTTTTTCAGTGAGGTTTCCAGAAAATTCGCATTTTATTGGAAGATATTTGGCAGCATTGGGATACGGCGCTCTTCCGTGCCACTGGCCCCCGACTAGAGCGCGATCATGTAGTACTAGTGTAAAAGTCAACATTTTGCTTCTAGCGACTTCGAGACCGGCCAGCTAAACGCGCTAAAGCACACGGAAAAAAGTCTATTTGCACACTGAAGGAAAAGTACGTTTGAATCCGGGTGGTTCGTTGATTTCAGATAAAATGGTAACATTTAGATATGCACAGTGATCGAACCAATCTTTACGATATTGAAAAAAAAGAGATCAAGAGAAGCTAAAATTCAAAGTTTTAAAAGTTCCAAACGTTGTTAAGTTTGTGCCAGGGCAGAGACAATAAATTGGGATAAATGTAGTCGGGCGAGGTAAAAGTTGAGATAAGAGGTCGGCGCTACTTTTCTCCTTATGATGAATGATGAGCAACTTGTTGAGCATAAGATACGCCTCATGATGGCTGGTGAATAATGGGCTCAGCACTTGCTTAGGCGATTTTTTGCAAATCTGTTAAGCTCTAAAAATCCGATCAAAATAAGAGGAAGGGTGCGGTAGTTATCAGTCCTGCGTAAAATCGTTATTTTGGATTATTTTCAGATTTAAACTTGGCAGAAAGGTTCCTTGTAGCAAAAAAAGACGATTTTTTTTCTATGAGTACTTGATACGGGTGGGCAACTTTGAGTGATTAAGTTCAAAAGAAGGAAAATTTCTTCGGCTGAAATGGATCAGATCGGTGGATCGGAATACGTGAATTTCAGCCCGTAATTACATTGCTACACTGTACTGCGTTAACGACTCTTTTTGACAACCGA